TATTAATCATCTATTATCTGTCTGGCAATTTATCTGATGTAAAACCTAACTTTATTTCCTCTCTTATTGTTTGAAACAACTCTCAATAATAGTCATTTTTGATCAAATATAATTAGCTGATTAAGTTATTTTTTGAAGAAAAATAATTTTTAAAAATTATATCATCATTACATATATCAGTACTTATGTAAAAATCACTTTAAAATTAACTAGTTATATCTCAAACTATACAGAGAACAAGACTATTTTATTTCGAACCCAGACTAAAAATATTCATTCCTAGTATTATTATAAATAATTGTATAATATCAATAATCTACTTTGTTTAACTATCTTATTCTAAAACTAAAAAAAGTCACTTATTTTATAATTAGAAATAGGATTCCTCATTAAGTTATTGAGATTATGTAAATGAAATAGTTTAAAATCTTAGAAAAATAAGAATTATGAGATATTAAATAATGTGAAGGATTTTAATTAATGATTTTAAATTGACTCTAAAAAAAATTAAGAATAAATTATATGTTTTGATAAATATAAATCAAAAATATGAAAATTTAATGATTTTAATTTAACTCTATAAAAATTAAGAATAAAATATATTTTTTGACAAAGTATAATGAAAATTAAATGGATTTAATTTAACTTTATAACAATTAAGATTAAAATTTAATTATGACAAAATATAGTGAAAATTTTAAGATTTACTGAACTTTATAAAAATTTAGAATAAAAAATATATTTTGATTAAAAATAATGAAAATTAAATGGATATAATTTTACTCTATTAAAATTTAGAATAAAATAATATTTTGATATAATTCTAATTAGTACATAAGCAACAAATCCAAGAGAAATCTTTATTCTTTTACTTTATTCAATTTTTATTATTAAATTGTAATATTACAAAAGAAATCTTAATTTTAATTAATAATAATATGTACTTTTGATTGATGAAAATAATTTTAATTTACTGTGCCAATATAATTTGTATTATCTTAAATCATAATTTTAACAATTGTAAAGTGAGGAAGAAAAATAAAATTATCAAATGAAGTTATTTATGATGATAAATACTTTGCCCTTTACTTTTAAAACTTTGAAGTTGATAAGGAAAAATTTAAGGGTAATATTGTATATAATAAAGAATCCTCTGCTTATTGATATTAAAAAACTTAATATTTAAAAATTATTATCATTCTTATCCCCCTTAGCTTTGATTTAAAAAAAGAACTTTTAATACAATGCATCATCATACTTCTAAATATTTTTTCTTTAGGTGAATGGATAGGGTTCACTCCATTAAGCATTTAAAGTGGAGCATAATCTAAATTATTTGAAAATGAAGTAGAAAAATGTTTAAGTTCAGGTCAATTACAAGATTTTATAAAATTCTTAATGAATTGCAAGAAATAAAAGGATTCACTAAAAAATAAACATATAATTACCTAGTATATCTTGATATTAAATTAGAAAATACACTCATAATAGCTATAAAAACAACTTTAAATAGTAGATAATTACAAAATATATTCTTTAATTTGAGAAATGATATTCATTATATTTAATCAAGGTCTGAGATAAGAATAATAATATACAATTTATTTGAGAGATGAAGACTTCTTTGTTAATCCATTTGATTAAATATCGATTTCCTCTTGATTTCAAGATTTTGTATCCAAAAATTAAAGTTTCAAGCTTAAGAAATTATTTTTATTATTTGATGGACTAATTTTCTTATTATTCTATAGAAACTTAGATTGAAGATGATATAATAATTATACTATTGTCTTAATATAAATACTTAATTAATACAAAATGATAAAAAAACTCAATTTTATATGTAGAATATTGATCATAATTATCATATTAATATATGAATTTTTCTATATTGAATTTATAATATTCTAATTTTTAATTCTCTCCAATTAATTTTATTTCTTAATTCAGTTTGCTAAATCAAGATTTTTTAATTTTCCTGTTTAACTAATAATTAGATATATGTATAATTTATACTTTTTCTAGTTTGAATAACAGTTTTTCATAATCATTAGATTATTTTATAACTTAGGTTGCGGATAATGAAACTGAGGTCTTAGAAATTTTTATATAATTTTATGAATTCTAATTTAACAAAAACTTTGCTTATAATCTAACAGTTAGTATTTTTTTGATATCACATTTGATGTTAGTTTAAGGACAACATTATTCTAGACAAAATAATTATATCTTTAAAAGCTCCTAATCTATACATTACCAATAGAAAATAATCGATATAGATTCAATTGTTTATGCAATAACGATTTCTTCTGATAAAATTTTATTTTAAGAGTAGCTTATCTTCTTTATTTCAATATGAGTATCTATTTCATTAGGATCGAAAAATCTCGATTAAATCAAACCATTAAATTTAGCAAGTTCAAAAAATAGCATTATTAATGCAATAATGATTATATTGTATTGATTAAATATAAGTGGTTGACCCTAAAAATTCTATAATTTATTAAAAGGGTAAATTCCAGCAGTAACTTCAGAAGAATATGTTATATTTGTAAAAAATCTTAAGCATCTATTATGGCTTTTTATTTTATTGATATTCATCTCATAGGCAGATAGATTAATCTATATTACTAAAAGTTCATGTAATTCTGTCAATTTACCAAATTATTACTTGGCTTCTATTGACCTGTTTTCGCATCCTTAAATATAGATAAAGTGATCCCAACTATCCAAAAAATTCTAACAGAATTACCCAATTCTTATGACCAATTATTTCTGTTATAACATCCCTTTAATTGATAGACTTATCTTAACTACTCCAAGCTCATTTATTTCTATCAGAAGAGAAATATTATTCTATTCTGATGACTATCCTACTTTATTATCCATCAATTTTAAACATCCTTGGAGGTCTTGGCGAGTCTTTGGAGATTACTTATAAGCTTAAAATCCTTAAGGCTCCTTTTAATGTTCCTCTAATACATCAAGAACAATCAAATGACTTATTAATAGCTCTAAAATTCAAAGCTCCTAAGTAGGTCTTACTTAATAAGCCTTACTATTCATATTTATTAATGCTAATTAGAAAGATCTACTCTTGTTGACTTTAAATTCTTTTACTCCAAATTTTACTTATCAAAGTGTTAAAATCATGCTTTTTTCATATTTACTTTAAGGAGAGAACAAGATTTTGTTCAGGCATATTCTAATGTTAACTGAAATGCTTAATTATGCTTAAAAAGAGATGATGAACAAGAGAATGAATCAATCATAAAACTCAAATTATGTATAAATTAAAATAGTCAAATAAAATAAAAATATTCCATATTATTAAAAAATCAAGTAATGCAGATATTGAAATGAATTCTCAATAGCATAATTAAAGTCTACTACAATCAATTCGAAATCTACACAAAGTCTGAACTTCCATTTTTCAAAAATACATAAGATACTTTTCTTCATTTTGCAGTATATGACTTAAACTTTGAGTAATTGAAATTCAATATTAAAAATAAAAAGGAAAATGCAGGGCCCTTTTTAAGAGAAGGAAGTTCTAGCTGACATCTTTGGTCATATTAAAGATGTAGATGAGCTAAAGTTTGGTGTCATATTAGAAAAATTAAGAAAGGAAAAAGTTTAAGACATCATTGGATATCTTTCAGATAACAAGAATCAAAGCCAATTAGAATTATGTATCTTACAAAAAGGAGTTGATATCACCCAGGCTGAAGTTGTCAAAAATGATATCAAATAAATCACAGAAGTCTTAAGAAAATTAAAAGACCATGACTTCAATAAGATAGACTATTCCTCTGAAAAAAATAAAGAATCTACATTAGGTCTAATTAAAAGCATCAAGGATAATAAAAGGATCATTGAATTTCTCTAATTTTTAGTTCACCTCACATCTATAGATGACACTTTGACATAATGCGGATCTAATTCATTATAGATATTAGTTTAGATGTAGGTGGACCTCAGAAACAAAAATTTGGAAAATATTAGGATTTAAAATACTTCTTTAGTCGGAGCTAATTTTGTTAGGTGTAATTTTAGTGGATCTGAATTTAATAATGTTAACATAAGCGGAATTAATCTAAATTAAGCATAATTATTTAATTGTAAATGGAAAGACTTAAGAATCCATGAATTGAATTAATTAGGTGGTCATACTAATCATGTTACATCAGTCTGTTTCTCTCCTGATGGAAATACATTAGCATCTGGTAGTTATGATAACTCTATCCGTCTTTGGGATTTAAAGCAAGGAAAATTGAAAGCCAAATTGGATGGTCATAGTGATCATATTATGTAAGTTTGTTTCTCTCCTAGTGGAAATATGTTAGCATCTGGGAGTAGAGATAAATCTATACATTTATGGGATGTTAAAACAAAAAAGAAAATAGCCAAATTTGATGGCCATACTTAATGTATTACCTCCATTTGTTTCTCTCCTGATGGAAATACTTTGGCTTCAGGTAGTTATGATAAGTCTATCCGCCTATGGGATATCAAAACAAAATAATAAAAGGATAAATTCGTTGATCATAGCGATTATGTCACATCAGTCTGTTTTTCTCCTGATGGAATTACATTAGCTTCCAGTAGTTATGATAAGTCTATCAATTTATGGAATGTTCAAACAGCAGAATAAAAAGTTAAATTGATTGGTCATAGTGATTATGTAAGATCAATATGTTTTTCCCCTGACGGAAATACATTAGCTTCTGGTAGTTATGATAAGTCTATCCGTCTATGGGATGTTAATACAGGATAATAAAAAGCCAAATTAGATGGTCATACAAGAGAAATCATGTCTGTCTGTTTCTCTCTTAATGGAAATACATTAGCTTCTGGTAGTAATGATAACTCTATCTGTCTATGGGATATAAAAACGGGATAATAAAATACTAGATTGGATGGTCATAGCGATTATGTCACATCAGTCTGTTTCTCTCCTGATGGAAATACATTAGCTTCTGGTAGTTATGATAAGTTTATACATCTATGGGATATAAAAACAGGATAACAAAAGGATGAATTGGATGGTCATAGCGATTATGTCACATCAGTCTGTTTTTCTCCTGATGGAAATACATTAGCCTCTGGTAGCTACGATAAATCAATCCGCCTATGGGATGCCAAAACAGGATAATAAAAGGATAAATTGGTTGGTCATAGTGATAAAGTTTGGTCAGTTTGTTTCTCTCCTGATGGAAATACATTAGCATCTGGTAGTAGTGATAACTCTATCTGTCTATGGGATATAAAAACGGGATAATAAAATACTAGATTGGATGGTCATAGCGATTATGTCACATCAGTCTGTTTCTCTCCTGATGGAAATACATTAGCTTCTGGTAGTTATGATAAGT